TGTCAAGTTATTTATATTTCGTCAAAATTGTCTTATATTTTTTATATATATATATATATATATATATATATATATATATATATATATATAAGTATATAATTGGTATATACGGAATGAATTCCAATAACCAGCAATTACTATTCTTAAAAGAGAGTTCAATACAAAGTAGAGCAGATATAATTATTTTTTATAAAAAAAAAAATTATAACATAAGTATGTTATAAAATCACTACAAAAATAGCCATTTTGTTTCAACACACTCTGTGTCTTATCAAGTGATGATGTTGAAAAGAAAATAAATGGCTTATCAAGTGATGATGTTGAAAAGAAAATAAATAAATGCATGTATATATTGGTAGTTGTTATTGTAGATAGATATATTTATATATCTGTTTTTTTGTAGATATGTATGTATGTGTGTATATATATTTATGTATGTTTGTGTATGTATATATATGTGTGTGTGTTGGCACCTATTATGTATGAGTTTGTTTGTGTGTATGTGTGGGTATGGAAACTTTGGTATATCATGACTGTTTTTATATATATAAGTATGTGTGTATAAAAAAATCTGTGTATATATGTGTGTATTGAGGTTTATATGTATATGTGCGTGCATGTGTACTTGTTATCATAGATATGTATATGTGCGTATATGTTTATGTTTATATATTTATTTGTATGTATTTCTGTATGTATATGTATGTATGAGTGTATGTTTATGTGTGTTAATTTGTGTTTTTGTCATGTATATATATATATATATATATATATATATATATATATATATATATATATATATATATATGTATATATGTATCTGTGGGTTTCTTTATCCTGTTTTTTTTTGCCTAATATATAATGAAACTATTATCAACTTATATGATTAATATATATTTTTATTGATATTTATGGTTTGAATTTTCGTTTTAATATATTAAATAATATTATTTTTAACCATTTTATTTTTGTATATTTGCTCCTTTAAGTTATAATTTAATAAGTGGTTAGCATTTATTTAAGTCTGAAATATTTATTGGTTGTGATATCTGATTGTCTATGTCATTGTCTGTGGATGTATGTATGTGTATCTATCGGTGTCTATGTGTATGTAGAGTGTATTCACATTTAACTGTGTGTGTGTATAAGTGTTGGTTTCCACGTCTCCTTTTTTTTCATAAAGGGCTGTAGAGATGTTCAACCCCCCCCCTTTTTTTTTTTTTGTGTGTGTGTGTATATCTAATTATGTCTGGGTGCTTATGTATTATAATCTGATTGTGTTTTTGTTGTTTTGCGCGTGAGTTTAAGACCAAATTCACACACTTTAAAATAAAAAAATAAAAGGAAAAAAGGGGGAAAAGAAAAAATATATATACATGTATTGTCAAATGACCGGATATATTGTAGCGTCTTGTCGAACGTAATTTCAATGAAGAAATGAATTGAATAAACATATATATTTTTTCTTTTCTCAATAATTTTGTAGTTTTAAACTTAATAGTGATTAAATTTGGATTTTAAAATTGCCAGTTTTTAATTTTAATATTAAATTTTATCATATAATTTTATAATTATTGGTTAGTATAAATTATTTTTAATATTATTACACGTATTTAAAGATCTGAATGGCTATTATAACATGATTTCGTTGTCAAGCTTTTGAATCTTTCTATACTTCGTTTTGATTGGTTATTCTAGCTTTTGTAACAATGTTTCCCCCTAGTGTAGGATCGTTAATTAATCTGAAACTTTTAAAACCATTTATTTTCTTTTCAACATCATCACTTGATAAGACACAGAGTGTGTTGAAACAAAATGGCTATTTTTTGTAGTGATTTTATAACATACTTATGTTATAATTTTTTTTTATAAAAAAAAATATATATATATATATATATATATATATATATATATATATATATATATATATATATATTAGTGTTTGAGCCTTTTATATTATATATATATATATATATATATTTCATAAATATATATATTTATACATATATATATATTTCATATATATATATATATTTATATATATATATGCATATATAGATATATATTTGTGAAATGGTGTTTTAGTTACACACACATACACTCGCATATATAGCAAAGATTGAGTTTAACAGAAAATAATAAATAAATAAAAACGATCGACTATGGTATTTCTGGGAAATAACACTTTAAAGAAAGACTTATATGTCCTATCTCTGCGATTCACGGAAATTACATCCATTCTTCTGTGGTTTGATAGCAAATTTTACAAGCCTTATAACGAGCGTTGTGTAAATTCCGCGAATAGCAGGGTTGGGAAACATAAATGAACATTTAATTTTATTTCATTTATATATATATATATATATATATATATATATATATATATATATATATATATATACGTATATGTATATGTTTAATATATATATATATATTATATATATATATATATATATATATATATATAATATATATATATAAAGCTGGCCACTCTGTATTCGAGGATTCCCGTCTACTAGGGTGCCCATCAAATCCCTATTGCAGACGCTTGCTCAGGCACATTTGTGTTTATTTAACACCTACAGAGCCCACCTGTGATTTATACTGCAACTATGCTGAGCAAACCTTAGTTACAGTTTCTGGGAAAGAGCGTGTTATTTAGTGTGATCGACAATTTGAACAAGGCCAGCACGCTCATGCTCTCGGCCACTATGACTTGTAACCCAATTTCACTCACAAAGCTTGTGTCAACCCGTGGTATAGTTTTCAAGCACCTTCCAAAGCGCCGTACGCCATCAGTCCCATGGTCAGAATGCGAACGTTCTAACCACTCGGCCACGTGACCAATTTTATATATATATATATATATATATATATATATATATATATATATATATATATATATATATATATATATATATATATATATATATATATATATATATATATATATATATATAATATCCTTTTCAAAAAGTTTTGCTAAACAGCACCAACAAGCTTGGTCTGTCAAACTTGATTTAATATTTGAAATTGCTAATGTTCATTTTTTTTTATTGAATCCAAGTATTTCCACTTTCACTAAAGTCGTTGTCAAGAATTGCAGGTTTAGTTTGATGAATTTCATCTCACCATCAAGAAACTGATTAGACAATTGAAAAGGATCAGTATAAAAAAATAAATATATATATATATATATATATATATATATATATATATATATATATATATATATATATATTATTCAATGAAACATGTTTGAATTAATATATATATATATGTGTGTGTGTGTGTGTGTGTTTGTGTAAAAAATGTATAGAAAATAGGAAAGAACTCGTTATGTAGCGTTGGAATCATATTTGGAATCATATTTTTAAATATATAATATATATATATATATATATATATATATATATATATATATATATATATATATATATATATATATATTATATATATATATATATATATATATATATATATATATATAGAATATATATATATATAAATAATCCAAAGTCCCTTAGTATTTTTCATTATTTTTCGAGTCTAAAAAGAGCATAACATAATTATTCAGAAAGAACATTTTTAAATAAATGGATATATATATATTATATATATATATATATATAAAATAATTGAGTAATTCATCGATAAAAGAAACCTCAACAGAGAAAATTGACCTTCGTTTCGTCCTATAACAGTTAGTAGAGGCACGGGTAAAAGAGAAACTCGGATGAGTTCCACCACGGAATATGTGATCCAGCGGCGCTATATTGAATTTGTGTCGCTACCTCTTGGAACAGTTGGTATGACGTTTGCCTCATAGCATAGCTGTCAGGGTTTCAATTCTCGGTATTTGATGCGCACTGCTGGTGAGTCCCAAACTTTGGACGAAACGGTCGTCCAGTGCTTTCTACATTCTGTTGAGGTCTCTTCTAGACTCGATGAATTACTTATAATTATCTCAAATCCTCCTAATTTTTATAATATATACGCACACATAGGTACCTCCACGAAAACGTTAACACTCAGCATACCTTGATGAAAATATTATCTAAACTGAATGGAAGCATTGTTTTATCGTAAAAATCTTTATGTTATTATTAAGAGAAAGGATCAAAGTATTTTTGATTATTTAATTAAATTTTTTACTCCATTTTAGAACATTCAAAAGTTTGATTAAAAAACTCCTTTTCTTTTAGCATAGAATATTTTGGCCCTTTTTTTTGCGGTGACACATTAATTTTGCAATACTTCCAAAAATCAATTGTCGGATTTTAATGAAATTTTAAGAACTTATTCAGAAATGAATTAAATTATTTTTGAAAATGTTTTATTAGAAAATGTTGATAAAATATATTTTACATGTGTTTCAACCCCTTACTTAATTTTATGAATACTTGAGAAATTCAAAAAGATAATTTTTAGTGACTATATTATTTTAAAGCAGAATTCTTTGAAGAATTTAAATCACCGAATGTTTTACGCAAAATCGGATCCGGTCTTACCGAAAATCGGTTTTGAATCAATATATAAAAAACAGAAATAAAACTAAGACCCTATTTAATTGAGAACAATTTAATTGCTTTTATGAATAATATATATATTACAAACAATATTGCCTGAAGAAAAAATTTTCGTCGAAAAATGAATTTTTCCAAGATTTGTTCTCATTTTTTTTTTACAATTTTAAATTGAATGATTTATAAACTTTTAAAATCTTTTACACTTCATTTTCAATGTGATAATTCTTATGAAATTATTTAGTAAAACTATATTTACTAATCATATATTGTAAACCCTATTAAATCTTCGACCCCGAATATTTTAAAAAGATTTTCGATTTCTTTTTGTATGTGTGATTACGTGCAGAATTTCTGAAGTATTGCTGCACAAACCGATAAATCTAGCATTAAAAGGTCACGTGTTTTAAGGGTTGTCCCCTCACACGTATATTGAAAGAAGACTTTATCGTCTGCTCCAACATACCACTATACTTAACTATGAAAACAATAAACAAAAACTAAAAAATCTTGAAGCTATTTACATGAAACAGTAGAAACCTAACCTGAACAAAATAAACGAGGAAAACTCCACAAATATACTTAAATGCTTATAGTTGATAACAGGAGCTATTGGTTTATACCAACAGCTTCCCATACTTAACACTTTTCTTCATTTTAACTCTCACGTGGTCATGTGTGATGTCATGAAACACAATGCGATATTTGCTTCCTGCGTTTCATATGCACGAATTTTTCGTTGTATAGCAATCTTCCATGCAAACAAAACAAACTATCATTGTTGCAATGTCCGCATAACCATTCTAAAACAAATAATATATATATGTGTAGTAGAGAGAGAGAGAGAGAGAGAGAGAACAAATGTAATATATATATATATATATATATATATATATATATATATATATGCGAATAGAGTGAAGAGACAGATAGAGAGAGAGGGATAGATAGATAGATAGAGAGATAGATAGAGAGATAGAGAGAGAGATAGAATGTATATATATAGATATTAACAGACTGTTATGCGTATTAATAGATAGACAAATAGATTTTATATAGAGAATTAGGAATATACTTATATAAATATATAAAATGACTGAGTATAAATAAGAATAGGAAACCGACGGAACAGACAGACAGATAGAAGGCCTCAGCAGGAACACACTTTTAGGGAGATAGAAATAGAATAGAGAGAAAGAGAGGAGAGAGAGAGAGAATGCCATCCAAAGCTAAAACCCAAGATAGATATTTTACCCAGACTGTTATATAGGTATTAAGTGAAATAGATAGAACAAATAGATATTATATATATATATATATATATATATATATATATATATATATATGAACACAGACAAACAGGCAGCAGACAGACAGATAGATATATAGATATATAGATAGATATGAACAGACAAAAATAGATAGATATATAGATAGATAGACAGGCAGATAGATAGAGAGAGAAAGGGGGAGAGACAGAAAGAAAATGGATAAATATATATTAACACTTAACAGATAGATAAATAGATTGATAGGCATAATAACAGACGAAGAAACAAAAAGTAATAAACATTAATCGAGGCTTACTTTTTTAAAAAAATTTTCTATAAAAAGGCAATTCCTTTCACAGCGTTTTACCCCCCCCCCACGATAGAGTAGGTATTTATTCCGGCCAAATTTTGTTTTCCTACGCACCGTCTGGGGATGGCTTTGTGCGTGAAACTAATACGGCACAGTGAAGTCCCATGTCTCTTCGGTTTTGGATTCGTCCTTGTGTATTTAGAAAAAGAATAAAAGCTTGGTTTTCTGGAACGATCAGATAAAACTCTTTATTTTGACAACCAACCAACTTTATATACATATATATATATATATATAGATTGATAATATTAGTGGTCAGTGTAACCCGGATATAAGAGAGCCGGATATAAGAGAAACCCGGATATAAGAGAGATTTTCTCTGGTCCAAAATTAGAGCCTGTTTTAATGTATAAATAAACCAAACCCGGATATAAGAGAAACCCGGATATAAGAAACTTCTTATCCGGTCCCGACAACTCTCTTATATCCGGGTTACACTGTATACACAGTGTTTAAGTCTTTTTTTTATTATATATATATATATATATATATATATATATATATATATGACTTTGTCAAATGAAATGAATCTGTTAATATCGTTGTTTTTCAATAAATACTAAAAAATATACTAGTCCGTTTAAATAGTTTTATATTCCGACGTATTGAGAGAATTTAGCACAAAAAAGAAAGAAAAGAAAAGGAAAAAGGAGTAAAAGACAGAAAAAAAATCCGACAAAGATAGAAAAGTCATCTGAAAATAAAACGTAACTGTTAAAGTAAAATCAATTAATTTTAAAAAAATAGGATGGTAATTTAATTAATAAAATTTCTGTGGTCGAATGTCTAAACAGACGTTGCAATGTCCAAGGCGACTTGTAGAAATTTTCTCTTCAAATGACCAAAGTTCATTCATAATCAGAAAATGTTGGCAATGAAACAGTTGAACAAACTGACTTTCCCTTCTAAATTCAAATTTAAAGATTGCGAAATTTGAGTTTTTTGTTCATTTTTATATTTATTTTAATATGCTGAATAGTTTTTTTTTTCTTTCTGTGTATTTGCAATTAAAATTTTTATCTCCTTTAATGAAAATCACTTAAAATGTCTTTAATAATTTTTTAAAGTTGCACGGTACTCTTCACTGACCACAGACAATCAAGAGAAGTCTGAATGTGTGCATCAAGAGAATATTTTACAATCTGATATTCCTCGTTCTATTTAGAAAGAAAAAAAGATCTATAAATCGTCAATATTATTATGACGGACAGAAGTTACTAATTGTAATGACTTTCGCTTGAAAATTTTAACAATCTAAAAATAAATGAACATAATGGATTTTATATATATTCATCTTATATAGTTAGAGATTCTTGATAAAAAAAAAAAAAAAAAATCTGCAATATTGTTAATCTTGTCCCGGCATCTCAGCTTTAGTCATTTTCCCATTGCTGTAGTGTAACCTCGCTTTTCTTTTTTTTTCCTATGAATATACTTTCATGGTAATTGTTCTGATGAGCTTTCCTCTGCGATATCTAGAAGACAAAATCCAAGTTTGCATTAAATCCAAATACTTAACTCTGATATTAGAGAAAGAAAAAATATTTCAAAGATGGAACGAATATATCGGAGATGTCTTGCACAGCGAATGACAAGCGACAATACGCAGAAATATCAATGGACCGGATATATTAAAAACCGAAGTAGAATTTACGCTAGTCAAATTGAACAGAAACAAAGCGGCATGGCCAGGCGGAATTGTAATAGAGATGCTGGCAGCACAAGACCAGTTTGACAGCAGAATTAAATGCACGGGCGAATGGTAGATTTGTAAAAGTGCAAAATGAACACAGACGAGAAAAATCATTAATGATCTTCTAACAACTTTACATCCATATGACTCACGTATGTTTCTTGCAACATGGTAATTGTTCTGGTGAACTTTCCTCTATGGTACCAACAAATCATAATTTAATTATAATTCAATACTAGATTGGCGTCAAGGTTTCACCATTTTACAGTTGAAATGGCTAGATATAATCGTAAGTTCTATGTTAACAGCTTCTTTTCTCGCACTTCTCGCTCGTGGAACTCTCTTTCGGCTTCTTGCTTCCCAGCCAACGTTGATCTTCAAAAATGCAAATGTCAATCGTTACCGTCTGTCTTCTTAATTCCTGTCCTTTTTTATTGTTTTCGCTCGTTAATAACGTTTTTCTTTTTCTCATATTCTTTCACACTCGGTAACCCCACACACTACCTGCGTCATAGTGACTATATTGCCTTGCTTAAAAAAAAAAAAAAGATATTGCATATTGAATTTGACACACATGTGAGTTCATTCCACGACACACGGATGAAAAACGACCATGACGCAAAAAATGCGTCACGTGATAATACTAACGAAGAAAAATAAAATCAGTTCTCAGGACGGATTTTAGTCCCCTTATTTATATTTTATTTATTTATGAATATTGTCATGGGTCCTTACCTATAACTACAGAATGAACTCTTCCTAACACTATGTATACTATGCCTCTCAAGAGAGAGGGTCGAATCGAGTCGAGCCGATAGTAGTTCACTCTAAACCAGACTGACAGTCATACTAACACCTTCCACATCTTGTATTATTATTTCGTGTAATATACCTTCGTTATTTCTACTCTTGTGTTCGTGTTGTTCTTCCTTGGTCCTAACCTGGACCATAACAAATATCATGTTTCGGCCGTTTCTATGGAAACTAAGCCAATAAAATGGCAGGACAAATATAAAATATATTGAAATATCTGTTTATATTTCTGCGATGAGGTTTTGTAACTATTTACACTATTTACATTCTTCGGACTGTTTTCCTCATCTTTGCTGTCATATTCACAATGTTTCGGCTGTTGTACGCTCTGACCTTCTTCAGGATCTGTCTATATTACTGAGATAAAGTATTGTAACTATTTACACTATTTACATTGTTCGGATTGTTCCTCATCTTTATTGTCATATTCACGACGTTTCGAACGTTGTACGCTCCTGCGTTCTTCATGGGAAGAATGTCTACGCAAACATCACCGAACCAATGTTCAGAAACGCCAAAATTGACTATTCTGGGTTCTGTTCGAAATTCAAACAAATATCACCTGAAGAAGGACGGAGGTACAACCACCGAAACGTGAAAGATGAGGACAACAGTCCGAACAATGTAAATAGTGTAAATATTAAAATATATGCGTTACCAGAGGAGTTATACAGGTTGCAGTAGAAATACCTAAAACCTTTTAATGGTTGACAAAAAGACCACGGTAACTGCTATTAAAAATTATTTCACTGTTTAAACCATGTGCAACGTTTTTTTTTTTTTTTTTTTTTATTCATTTGGTTTTAAAAATGACATCCTTCAAATAGTGGCCTCTTGCCAGACACTGTTGTATACGATTTCTAATGTTTTCCATCAATCGGAAATTCGAGCACTTCGAGGTCTTCCAGATGGCTTTCTTTTAAGCGCTGAATCTGTGTCCCTGAAATTTTCAACCCATATCAGTATGAATTTTCTATTCAGAACAGTATGATTCCGACGTAACATGAAAACCTTGATCGTCTCTGAAATAGAATGTTAAGACATTAGATAGATGAGGACACCATCGCCACTTACCTAAGTTTAGTAGCACCAAACAGCTTAAAATGTGGGAGATATTTTAGCCGCACCCTGTACAACAACGGCTACGACCAGAAATAATTTTTTCTATTTTTTTTTTTTTACATATTATTATAAATTATGTACTTTTGGTCTTCTTCTTCTTTGGACCGTGTCCCTTCGGAGCGGTGGCGTTCATGGCTCTCCAAAATTTCCTATATATTTTAGCTTTTTAATAATTTTTTTTTATCTCTCCTAAACTCTGTACTGCCATCCATTTATTCAAGCTCTCTAGGTAGGTTATGCATTGTTTTCATTTACCCCGCCTTGCCTTCAGTGTCCTGTGAGTATCAAATTTTCCAATCCCTCTTTTTCGTTACGTGCCCTAGAAATTTCAATTGTCGCTTTCTGATGTTAAGTAGAAGTTTCCTTTTTGTTTACATTTTCGTTGCTCACGTCTATAGTATTCTCAGCATCCTTATGTGGAACCACATTTCTGTTGCGTTAAGTCTTTTCTTCATCTGTGACAAGATTCTCCAACATTTACTGTGTGACAAGGCCCTCAATGTTAACAGTTAAATCAGACGTATAATAAATTTAATGAGAGACGCGGTGCCATCGTGTTTCTTCTCATCTTTCTCTTTTTTATTTTTGTTTTACTCTCTGTCTGGACTGAGTCTTTTTTTCTGCTAAGAAAGGATAAGAAAAGAATTTGGGGTCGCTTGACAACAAACAGAATGACCTCTTAAGAAAGTGAGTGAGAATCGGTCACCTACGCTCACGTGACATACATCACCAAGTGGGAATTTAGTTTCCCGATGATCTCCGACGACAAAAAAAGAAAGACTCTCATCATGCGATCGTGAGGGATGAGAAACACACCGAGAAAGCTATTCCATTACTTGTTGTGTAAGGAATAAGGAAGTTTCATCCCGGAGATCTTGGGTCTATTTGACTTTTCAATGGGTAAAGGATAAAGGAATATTGTACCCAAATAAATACAAAGAAATCATCTTACTTTCATCTCGAATGCAATCCAATTAAACAAGAGGAAAAGGAACACAAATGCTATATTTTACATTGTAAAAAGAAAGAACGACCAACTTTTGTGAATATTCTACAGCAACTTTGTCGTTATGAACATTTGAACTCCAAATTCCTGAAACACAAGCATTTGAACTGACATCCAATATCATTAAACTGTTCGTTTTCTTAATTGTACATCTGTCACTTCATACTTTTCCCATATTTAGAATTTTGTATCTCTATCTATAAAAGGCAGGATGTGTGTGTGTGAGTGTGTGTGTGTGTGTGTGTGTGTGTGTGTGTGTGTGTGTGTGTGTGTGTGTGTGTGTGTGTGTGTAACGAATGCACGGCCGCAATTTTCGACAGATTTGCACCAAAATTTACATGAATATGCTCCAAGTTAGCGGGAAGGCCAAGACCGACTTTGCATTTCCCAACTTCCATCGATAGTGGAAATAGTTGATTTTTTCATGCTTCTACGGCAGTTTTCATGTAGTTTGCGGCTATTTTCTACTGGCCAGAGTGAGAGCCTATAGCTGGCTGCCACGAATAGGCAGGAAGATTCTATTGGTCAGCGTGAGAGCCAACAGCTGACTGACACGAATGTTAACTAGCATGCTAGCATGCAAAAAAAAAAAAAAGTGGGAAAAATTTAAATCTGCATGGCACTTTACTCTAATTGGCTCATTCGCTTGCTTAAACTCAACGTTGATTTTGATTCCGCAGAACTGAGTTGGGTGTGAAAAAGTATTTGTTGTTAACATTCTTTTTCATTCGGTTTTTCCAGTTACGAGTCCTTTTTTAAAGCTAATCGTTTTGTGTTCATTTTGTTTAGTTCTTTTTCGTAACAGATTTAATGTTTAGTATAGAGCTTAGAAAAAATTCGCAGTGTGAGATAGGCAAGAAGTAAGGCATGTAGCAACATCAGCACGGTAAAGAGCACTCCTTTTAAAGGCAAGGAAGGTCAAAAATATTTTAAGTCAAGTGATAGCGATAGCTGTATGAGTCGTACGATTTTTGAATCAAGCATGGGCAACGCCAGGACATACTGCTGTTTTTTTTTTTATATAAAATGTATTTACAAATGTTAATCTTGTTGTTCGTCA